TTGCTTGATGGAAATAATTTGCTCCCTTTCCCACCCCGCGGGACACCATCCGGCAGCTATTGGTTGTCGGTATTTGCGATCCGATTCCGCACTGGCGACGATTCCATCCGACAGCGCCGATATGTATTTTTAATGTCATTTTCGCGTCGCGATTTGATTTTTCATTAATTTCAGGATGATGAAGTTTCAAGATCGTTTCTCTTGCCCGTTCGTCATTTTCGCGTGACTCGTTCGATTGGAGGAAATAACGAGCGACCGCAGCGGCTCGGTTAGCTCTTTCTCATTTTTTCCCTTCACCATGGTAAACTAGGTTGCAGAACGATTTAGGCACAATGAAGTTGTTGTGGACAGCAAACTATCACGACTGAGAGTCATTACCGACAGACTTGCGTAGTAATCGATGATGATAAGAGCCGAGGTATACTTGAGAGGATGTCGAGATATACTTAAGGGGATGACGAACTCAAATGTCGATAACGTAGAAGGGATCTTCATTAACGATCATACCTTTTCGTATTTCTTTGTACATACAGATCTTATATAAATGTGTGCTACTTTGTTTTACCATGCTAACAGAAAATATAACCACATGCATATATAGAAATCATTCTGCAAACTTTTCATACACTTTTGAGATTCTACATTCAGTTGTAGAGATACAGAACTGTTTCTTGTGATGTCACTGACATCACAAGTTTTGAGAGTGATGTCACTGGTCCATAGGCCAATGTGGCCATGTGCCAATGGGGCAATTTCTGGGTAGTGAAAAATGTATTTGCGATCTTCCCCATCAAAACGTAAATGTTTCAATTAGCGACCAAGTAACACTATTATGAGAGTAAATTACTGTATTTAAAATGGACACCAAATTAACCCATTAAGGCCCAAAAGAAAACCGCTAAGGATAGGCTTCCAAAAACCATCTAAATTAGGGCAAAACGTCGAAATTTGTTAAAAAGTGATAAAAAATTTGTGTTGGATTTTAAAATTCAAGATGGCGGACCAATATGTCGGCCCGAAAATTTGAAAGTTTGACCTATTTGAGTGGAAATCCGAATAGGGGGAATTTTGGGTTCGCTGAGTATGAATATGCAGTTATTTTTTCAAAATTTTTCAAAACATACTTTCATTGAAATAAATTATTCATTGAATTTTTGGCCGCCATATTGATTTTTAAAGTCAAAAAACCATTTTTCTTCTAGTCTGCTAAAATATGTTTTGACCCAAAACAAACACTTTCGAAAGGTAGTTTATAATTTGGTTCGATTTTTCGCCAAATAACAAAACTATGTCAAATTTTCGCATTGTTGGGCGGCCATATTGGATTCGCCATTACGAATTTTGAAAAAATAAGTGCATATTCATACTCAGTGAACCCCAAATCCCCCCTATATGGATTTTCACTCAAATAGGTCAAAATTTCAAATTTTCGGGCTGACATATTGGTCCGCCATCTTGAATTTTGAAATCCAACACAAATTTTTTTCACTTTTTAACAAATTTTTAACAAATTTCGTTTTGTCCTAATTTACATGGTTTCTGAAAGTCTATCTTTAGCGGTTTTCTCTTGGGTCTTAATGGGTTAAAAGCCTTGATGAGCTGATTACAAAGATATAAGTTTTAGAGTCGCCCAGTGTACCGTTCCAACACTACGATTTAAAAAGATCCCAAATTTTAGGCTACTTTTAAACTGACGTTTCTTTAGCAAAACTTAACGGATTTTAAAAATTCAAAATGCTACATTTAATAAAATTAAATGAAGAATTTAATGATATAAATTCCATGTTCCAAACTGACTGAAAGTAGAAAATTCCAATTAGAACATCAACTTCCGGTTGATTTTGGAACATGAAGTGCATAGGAAAATGCACTTTATGTTCCACTTACCTTACTCAAAAACATTAGAAATACTCAAATTGTTTTTGCTTAATTATTTTAAAAGCTAGATCAAACAAAATTCAACTTTTGTAATGAAACAAAATGAAAGAAACATAAAGAATGTGGTTTAAAATTTGGAACCTTTTTGGACTGTAGTGTTGGAACGGTATACTGGGCGGCTCTATAACTTATATCTTTGTAATCAGTTCATCAAGGCCTTTAGTTTGGTACCTATTTTAAGTACATTTTTCACTGCCCAGAAATAGGGCACATGTTGACGTCACTCTTTTCGTTAGCGGAGCAAACATACATGAAGTGTGCGCAAGTTGCAGAATTTTTTTATCAAGTAAATATTTACGTAAACTGACAGCTTGGAATGTCAATTTAAAAATTTTTTATCATTTTCGTTACATATTAAGCAATATTAAAATTCAATATTGCACATGCTTTCAGGATGTAAAAATACTTGTAATTCTGTACAACCAATATGACGTAAACTTTGTAGAAAAAAGTCAATATTTTTTCGATAAAGTGTTCAAATATAGAATCCTCTTAAGGGGATTTTGAAGCTGAAAACTTTACCGATAGAATATTGACATTTTTTGCAAAATTTACATCGTATTGGTTGTACAGAATTAGAAATGCTTTTACGCAATGAAAATAAACGCAATGTGTGAAAATAAATAGAAGCATTGTGACGAAATATATAACGAAAACGAAAAGAAATTTTAAATGTGAAATCTCAAGTTGTTAGCATAATATTTGCCTAATCCAAAAGTTCCGCAGTTTGTATATACCGAAAGTGTAAATGCTTCAAAGAGAAAAATTTTGAAGAACATTGTTGTACATTCACATCTGAATTCAGACGCTTAAGGGAATGTAGGAGTCAATGACAAACTCAAACATTGTCGATAATGCGATTATCACTAACATAATCACGCTATCCTTTTCGTATTTCTTGTATATACAGAACTTACATAAATGTGTGTTGCTTTGTTTTACCATATTTAACGGAAAACCTAATCACATATGTGTAGAAATATTTCTGCAAACTTTTTCGATATTCTGAAGCTGCCAAATGCAAATGCGAAGGGCAATGTTCTTCAAAATTTTTCTGTTTGGAGCATCCACACTTTCAGCATATACAAGCTGCGGAATTTTTGACAATATAGACAAATATTACGCTAACTGACAGCTTGAGATTTTACATTAAAAATGTTTTGTTCATTTTCGTCATATATTGAGCAATGCTCTATTTATTTTTGCACGTAATTTTATTGCGTAAAAGCATTTGTAATTCTCTGTAACAAATACGACATAAACTTTGCAGAAAAATGTCAGTATTCTATCGGTAAAGTTTTCAGCTTTAGCATCTCCTTAAGAATATTGGAAAATTTTACAGAAAGATTTCTACACGTGTGTGTGGTTAGGTTTTCCGCTAAATATGGTAAAACAAAGCAATACATAAGGCTCATTGTTCCAATCTCTTGATAAACAAACTTTAGTTAACGAACATGTTATCAAAGTTACGCTCCTTTGAATAATATCAATAACATTTTACTCGTAGCTCACTATTTTTTAACTGTTAATGATAAAAAATAATCACATAAACGGATATTGGAAGCAATATTCAACATTATTGGAATATTTATGGATAATTTAGCTCTTGGAGCTCGTTTATCTCTTGTGATATAGTAGTTGCTGATTCACTGATGGGAGAAACGAAAAGCAACACCAGTAATATTCAATCTTGTCAACTTTATTTTTTTACTGACAGCAGCCACAGTTATTTCCAAAATCGATTACTATGCAAGCGCATCAGTAAACTTATTCTGTAACTTTTTAATGACAACATCACTAACATCGTCGTTTTTTTACCGTATATTATACTTACGCAACGACAACATAACGATACTGCCATTAGAAGTTCACAGGATCGTGCCACAATAGTTACTTTCAATCGTGACAGTTTGCCGCGCTGCCAACTTCATCGTTTCTAAACCGCTTTGCAACCAAGTGTATACGCGTCGCACATGCCAAGACACATAAGCGCCGTTGTTGTTTGACGTTCGGTTACATGGAAAAAATTGCACGGCTTCAGTCGGACGACGACACGGCGCCAAGACCGTCGCGACACTTTATTCCGCTTTAAAATCGTGCTGCGTCGCGCTCTGTCGCGAACCTTGAGGATAACATCCGCGCGGTCGAGGATCACACGCGCTCGGTAGGATCCGTGCACCAGCATCCGCACAAGTTTTCGAGGTAATCCGCGAGAAATGGAAACAAAGCTCGTCGTTGACAAAGTGCTGCGTGAAAAAGTACACTAGTAAAAAGGGGATTCGAGCGGACCACGTTGCGCGTTTCAAGAGACACACGAGAGAAAGAGAGCGATGGCACCGCTCCTTACTTCCGTCGATCACACCGACCATACGTACTTACGTGATACGAGCAAATCCGCTTCGCTGCGAATAAATCAACCCTCTTTCTCCCCCCGCAATCGCCATCAAGTCTCACGGATCGCCAGTCAGACACGTACTCGTAGCTTCGTCGGTGACGTCGGTGGCAACCCGCCCTCCCCTCACCCCCTGCCGTGAGATTGTTCTCGGCACAGTGAGAGTAACTCTAAGCCAACCGCATCACGTGTGCGTGGTACGCCAATAAAATTTCGTCTGAGAGCAGCGGAGTCGTGCGCGCGCCATAATTCGGTTGGATCGCGGTTATTCTAATCCTAATCGTGCAGGGGTATCGCGCTCGCGCGCGCCTAATTGGCGCTGTTCGATGGTACTTAAGGGGAACGCAAGGGAATGACGACGACAACGATGCGGCGCTCGGTTGTTTAGCAGGATCGATGGCACGAGGGGGCGGGCACGAAGAAGTGGCGAGGAGAGGTCATTGTAAACCAGCCCCCGGGTTTACAGTCCTCGACGATATCAACGAGGGGGCGCGCGTCCCCCTCGGTATTATCGCGAACTTAATGAATAGACCGTCTACTCTCTCGCCAAGCTCGACAACGATAACGAGGATGATAATGATAAACGACCCTCGCCGCCCTAAACTCTCGCCCGCCCCATCCTCGCCCGCCGCTACCGTTACCGTATCTCATCTTGTGTCTTGCCGTGAAGGCAGCAGAAGGACGGCAAGGCGTGCGTCCTCAAGGCGATCTGCCGGGCGGCCAGGCGGACGCGCGAAGACGTCGGCAAGGGGAGCTTCCTCGAGGAGATCCTTCACGTTATATTCACGTGAGTAACAAAAATCGCGACGGGGAAAAGCTTAGGCGCTCGTCTTCTCCTCTCAAATTGATATGCCGTTTAGATAGTGTGAGAGCGAAACGATGATTGCAGCCTCCCCGGGGGACGATACGACATCGATCCGATGACCGAGTACGAGCGAACTTATCACTTGGGTGAGAATTGCGAGGAGGTGCACGCCAAGTGTCCGGATGTCTTCTGAAGTGCTGCAATCAGCATGATTATCTTACACAGTTGCGAAACGAGCAGCTATCACGAAGAACTCTCCGTCTCTCCCCTTCCTCCCCCCTTCCTGTCTTTCTCTCTGTCTCTCTCTTACTCTCTAGTCCTCTCTCTATCCCGTATCCTTTAGCCGTAATCAGATTAGTGCTTGAACCGTAAACCCAAACGACCATCGGATTCGGACTAATTGTAAGATTTCCGCAAGCATCAAGCTCGAGGATTTCGAGCAGATAATAATAGGTATTATCAAAGCGTTGTATCATGCTAATCCGAAGAGAAAGAAAGAGAGAGATGAGGAGAGACTCGAATAATTGTAAGAGAGATTACTACGATAGATGCCTACAGCCCCTTTGAATTGAAACAATTCTGTCCCGGTGTTTGTGATTTTTGGAGTTTAAGAGAGATGAGGGCAGGTTCGCAAAGAGCTTTGTTTATGTACTTATCGCGAAAGGAGCAGTGGAAACGAAGTCACAGAATGTTCCTTTTAGAATGTGGATACTTTTCCCTGAGCTTAATTAAAATCGAAAAAATGATGTAATTGAGAAAGGAAAGTTTGATTTAAGAGTAACTGAGTAAAGTTTCGAGCGCTTCGAAATTCTTGTTAATATTCTCCCTTATAAACGAAGAAACTTCCGCGATGTGTTTTTATTAGTTATAATAAACTTTTTTGTAGCTAAATGATATTTTATTGTTTTGCATGATAAAAGAAATTTATATTCATAATATAATCGAATAGGCTCAGATATATTTGCAAATTAAATTAGCTTATCACGGAGTACTCTATACGAGATGAAGCATATCAAATAGTTATAATATGTTGGTTATGAAATAAATATTTAGCATATTGTTAAAAATTATTTATCAACTTTCTAACTTTAAAGAACAACATTTCATTAATGTGTACATAAATAAAAACAAAAATTGATATATTCTGACAAAAATCATTATATCGAAAATGTCTGTATTTTTCTCAGAATCAAGACAGCAATGGTAAGCCTTTATTTGCTACAAAGTAGTTTCGAAATGATAAAACGTTTTCCAAGTTGCGTAATTATATATATTTTATACGTTGCTAATCCATCCTGGGCTTGTAAACTTATTTTATCCCAGACAGCTACGCAATGATACCACATGTGCACGTTTCGACCATTACAGAAAAAAATATACAGTTTATAAGTATTAAACTTTTAAGACCTATGTATATTTATTCTGGGTTCTGCTAAATTTTTTTACATTAGTGAAGTAATAATTCCGTCCATATATAATAATATTATCAACCTACTTTAGAACTACATTCTTTGTGTGTGTGTGTGTATGTGTGTGTATCCCGATCTCTGAAATAGTGATTTTCTCATTAATCATACTGATATGGTTATTATGTGCAAAATAAATTGAAATTATATAAAGTTTTCCACGAAAAAGGTATTATATTTTTTCAATTTTTTTATCAATGTCATTTTAAAGTACAAGGTCGGTTTTATGTTAGTTATCATAGTTTATTAAATTCTATAGCTAAGGCACACGTGCAAACATGAATACATGAGTATATAATCATGTACATTCAGAAAATCCTATCACTCGACGGAATTTTACTCTCATAATAGACAAAATACTCATTTCGTCGTTTATTATACGATTATTTATTGATTATCAGGGAAAAGGGATATTTTTCGGATAATTTTGCTCAAGCAATCTCAAACCCTCTCCCGTCCATATTATCTTTATTCAGAAATAGCACGCAACTTTCATCAGCATATGTCATTCCTCTCTTCAGACATCACAAATTCGATATGACCGGCGAGGTACAAGAAGCCTTAATATCACAATTAATATAACTGATCTTACCAGTATTTATTAATGAGTACAAATATGAGCCATTACCCTATAAATTATCCCGGAATCTTTAAGGATCAAAGACACTGCGACTAGCAGTGAATTGTGCGTCTCTCCGATTCCACGAGAAGGGCTAAAAGCGAATGGCAGTAACTGGTCGGGTGATGAGATCCGCGACAATGATATCGGCGATTCGAATTATGCAGTCGACGTCGTTCCCGGAATTTCCTCGCAACTACGGAATTGCTCGAATTGCCAGCGGAACTTCCAACGTCCGGTCTTTCTCGCGGGAACGACGCTCGGACGAAGAGGTGCAAATTACTCCGTATCGGAGAGTGCCTGGGCGTTTCTTCCGTCGGATATACTCGAGTCTGCCAGGTAATTTTAATTCACGAATCTACGTCTACGTACACGATCGCCTGATCAATTCGCACGCTTCGCTATCAATTGTGTGTTAGCCCCGTGTATAGCCCGCAGCGCGGCAATCCTGCCGAGAGTCCTTACCGCACACGCGCGTGTTCGTAGCCTCGAATAAACTTCACGTCGCGATGTGCGCACATCCATTCTCACGTTATAAGGAACGTAGCTGCGAGGGATTACAATTTATGAATTGACGGCGACTCGCGCTAATGACACGTGATGCAAACTCTACCAACTGACATTCTCGGGAGCGCGGAATTGTATTACCTTGGCTTACCGTTGTACGTGCAAATACGGCGTAATGCGATCGTAACGTCGTGGCCGCGCATCCACATACACACACGCACACATGCACAGCCACGCGCGCGACGCAACGGATTACTCGGAGATGCGGAAACGAGCGCGTATGTGTGTGCGCGTATGTGCATGCGCCAGGGAGAGACTCGCCGCGGTGTATTATTCCCCGTATGCGACCTATTATTACAAGACAAACAAATGAATCTACGTCCGCCGACTTCCTCGACCGAGTATGCGGGATGCTTGCGAAATGGACTACAGATACGTTACACGTTTGCACCGCGCGCGCGCCGCCGAGAAATCTCAGCTGGATTTGCGTGGGATTACAAGATCCTCGTCTCAAACCCCGGACGAATGCGATAGATATCTGAAGTGATAATACTCGTCGTAATGGCGACTTAAACCTTTAAAGTTCGGTGTACATTGAAAGAAAAAAAATAGTTTATCTAACTAAAATTATAGTTATTTTTGGCCTTAACCATATTTTTTGGTTGTTATAATATGCTAATAGTAGTAACATGGATACAAGTTCACTAATATTATTATCACTAATATTATAATAGAATTTAATAAAATATAGTTCCCTCTACCATAATTTATAGTAATCATTTTTCTATGCGATTATTTATTACGAATATTTATTACTAAATATTTTTTTCTATATTTTACTAAATATTTATTACTAAATATTTTTTTCTATATTTTACTAAATATTTATTACTAAATATTTTTTTCTATATTTTACTAAATATTTATTACTAAATATTTTTTTCTATATTTTACTAAATATTTATTACTAAATATTTTTTTCTATATTTTACTAAATATTTATTACTAAATATTTTTTTCTATATTTTACTAAATATTTATTACTAAATATTTTTTTCTATATTTTACTAAATATTTATTACTAAATATTTTTTTCTATATTTTACTAAATATTTATTACTAAATATTTTTTTCTATATTTTACTAAATATTTATTACTAAATATTTTTTTCTATATTTTACTAAATATTTATTACTAAATATTTTTTTCTATATTTTACTAAATATTTATTACTAAATATTTTTTTCTATATTTTACTAAATATTTATTACTAAATATTTTTTTCTATATTTTACTAAATATTTATTACTAAATATTTTTTTCTATATTTTACTAAATATTTATTACTAAATATTTTTTTCTATATTTTACTAAATATTTATTACTAAATATTTTTTTCTATATTTTACTAAATATTTATTACTAAATATTTTTTTCTATATTTTACTAAATATTTATAACTAAATATTTTTTTCTCAGTGTACATAATTATGTACGTTCACTTTGGGATCTACCTATATTTTTTATATTGGCATTTCATATTTATATTTATATATTTTATATTTTTTATATTAGTAAGGTAATGATTCCGTTGATCTAATATTGTCGATCCATCCTAGATAGGACTATTATATTCTTCGCCCCGTGAAACAATGATTTTTCTGTTGAAAAAATCAATATGGCGATCGTGTACAAAGCAAAATTGTTGTTGCTCGAAATTGTGTAAAGTGTTTCACGAAAAAAATATAAGCAAATTACATTTTCTCAATTTCTTATCGATGTCATCTTAAAGTGCAAAATTGGCGTTTTTATGAGTTCAATATTATGATTATTAGATTTATTAAAATTGCTAGGTACTCATGCAAACATGATTATATCAAGTGATGCATTCAGAAAATCATACTTCTCGACGGTTTATTTTATTCCTACAACAAAACTTTTCATCAGGAGCGTCTTTCAAGACTATTATATGAAGAAAAAAAGTTTTACTTGACCGGGATCGATTTGACTTGGACCTCAAAGGGTTAATGAACAGCAATGGAAGTGCGGAAAGACGAAGAGAATCGCTCGATTTCAAGTGTTAAATAAATCAGCGAGTTTTCCGCGAGGAATGGCAGAATAGGCGATGTCGTCGCTTGGAAAGCGAAAAAAAAAGAACTTAAGTGGGGAACGACCGAGGGAGATTCAGGAAGCCCAAAATGAAATTACCTCGCAGATGGGAACCGCGAAGATGGTCAGAAAGCACTCGAATCTTCGGGATTGGATAAAGCAGGGCGGTCTCGTCATTCCTGAATATATTTCGCGAGATTTACGAAATTTATTTAAAGACCCTTTCGCTCGCCTCCTTCTCCCCCCTGTCTCTCTCTCTCCCTCTGTTGTCTAGCGTGCGAGACGTGGTAGAGGAAGCTGTAGGAAAAACGCGAAGGGCCGATGAAGCTCTCACACAAAGAAGAACAGGCGAGCTCTCGGTGAGATTTTTCAAGATTAACATGGAAAAGCCGGAGGACTCCGCAGTGGAGGACAGCTTGTCAGGTTTTAATGACCCACGAGAGACTCGGAAGAATTAATGAGCTCTCTCAATCAAATGCGATGAGCACGAAAATGCACGAAAATCGCCGTCAATCTGACGGGCTCGCGATAACGTAAATTATGTGGCGGCACGTGGAATTGCAACGAAACGAGTATATAATGGCTTTGCGCGCGAAAACACGTTTTCCGTACTTAAAAGAAAAAGAGAAAGATAGCTTTCCTTACTCACACACACACACACACACACACACACACACACACACACATACACCGAAGTCCTCCTGTACTGATGCACTTGGCGTATTATTTCCTTCGTTAGTCTAGGGTTGCGCGTTGTTGGCATTCGCGGGAAATAATTTAGAGCAGGTTGCACGTTGAAAACGTTAAAACATGACAAAGACTGAAATTTATTCCACGTTGCCGCCGGAATATCTTACCGGTGTAAAATGTGCCGGGGCAAACGTATATGCAGTCTGCGCAGAGATAGAGATAGAAATACATACTTTATCACAACCGCGAGAGTGGTCCTCCGGAGCGGAGTTGCGCATATACGAAATTATGAAAAATTTAACTCGCGTTTACGACGAATAGGTTACGTTTCAGGAGTAACTTTATTTATGCCGCGGGGAAAAAACAGCGAATTTCGACGCAACCGCAAATTCCTTCTTTTCCATTCTCCTCCTTTTTTATACATAGAGAAAAGAGCTTTTGATGTTTGGAATAAAATGTGTAGTCAGAAACATGTGTGTGCGTGTGCACGTTGGACATTATTTTTCATACAGTTGGCCATATATACGTGTGAATCTGAAATCTCTCAACCGATCGATTGCTCTTTGGTTTCAGCTCGTAGCGGAGTAAAGTAGCCCTCGTGTCCAGGTATAATATTCGCATTGAGTTATACATCATCTAATCACGTTTTAATCACCATAAGAATAAAAGAAGTCATATGAACATCGGTTCGGAAATTCTTCATTTTCAAATTCTATACATTCTTTGTTGTTTTTGTTGACAGACTTTATCAGATATGTTTGTTAAATTTTGAATTACAGGTTATGAAGTAGCAGAGGATCAATCAATTGTATGGTTTTTGCACGTTCTCTCAATGTAAATCTCTTCTAATTTTATTTATAAGACATTATTCCCAGCAATTTCTTTAACGAAGTGTTCTTGTCAAAGTTTATCGTAAAAGTTTATAATTTAAAAAGTTTATAATTTAAAAAGAATGTTTCCGTCTTTGTGTTCATATGACATTTTTCTATTCTTACAGAATAGAATATGCTTTTACGGGAACTGAGACGGTTTGAAATCTTCAAAAAATCGATTTTTGGGTTTTTACATAATTTTAGTACAATTCTTTAGGAACATTTTGGCGCAAAAGGAACTTCGATATTCGTAAAATTGAGTTTAGGAGAGCGAAAAATGTGAGGCGGTACGCACAATCATGTAGTGTAAGAAATGTAGATATTGTTTATTTAAAACAAATTGATAAATAGTAATAACGGTTCGAAAACTTAGAAATAATAATATCGGAAACAAAGGCTATAGGCATGTGAAGATCACTGCTAACAAATATAAGAATAACAACAAAGGAGACAAGAACAGTTGGTCGGTAGGTAGTAGAAGTAGTCGGTCGTTTATTTTTCAAAACATTTTCCGCTCCTTTTGCCACGATAACTCAAGAACGGCTGAAGATATCGACTTGATCTTTTTTTTTAATTAAAGATAAGATATACTGCATAGATTGAACCGAAGTTTGCTGTTGAAAATTAATTTTTTAATACCGTTTTAACAATATCTTGAAATTTTAGACACTTTTAGTTTTTCGTCCGCTATTTTTCTAATTTTTGAGATTTTTAGTTCTATTCTGGTTCAATCTACAAAGGGAAATCTTATCTACAAAATGACGCCTAGCACATTAAAAAATTCCAACTCGTTTTTCGGAATTGTGGCACAACTGCAGAAACAATGTTTTTTAATTTAATAATATCTCATTCAATTATTAATATTTTTTGAACTTTTACCGCTTATTTTATTCCTAAAAATATATATAAAAACTAAAAAAAACAAATCTGGTATATGTTTATTCGTTTGTTGACAATTGTCATTCAAATTTCAATCAATTTTCGAAAGATGAAACCGTTTTTGTTCCTTTAAAGCTTGGCCACCTATTTCTGGAAAATTCTGTATAATCTGATGAGCATAATAATCGTAATTATTACATGTCCTGAGAAAGATGCACCCTGGGACAATAATAAACGCTATTTACTCACATATTTTTTTATTCAGATAATCACTCGATTAATGGATAGTAATCCGATCATTCCAAGTCAATATATATAGAGGACATCGAATTTAGTTAGCCCAAAGGATGTGTCGGTCATGTACTTTGTTTATATATTTATCATTAGAGGAATAGTGAAAACAAAATTGCAAAATGCTCCTTTTTGGAAATACGTACTTTTCTCTGAATTTCATTAAAATCTCGAAATAATATTACAATTAAAAAATAAAAAAGATTATTTCAGGGTCAGCCAAGTGCATTTTCGACCGTCTCGAAATTTTGTATTAATATTCTCCAACGTGAGTGAATCAACTCAAGGGATGTGTTATTAATTAGAATGAAGTTTTCAGCAAGTGTATGATACATACTGTTTTGAGTGGTAATAAAAACAATTTTTATCCATAAAGTGATTGAAATCGAGCATATTGGGCGGACGAGATAAAACTAACTACTATCTAAAGGCCAGCAAGGCCTGGAGATCTCTTGCGAAGAACCTGAAATTACTAATCAAGGTACATATCTTATATATAGCCTTCTTACCTTGAATTGATATCCAACTTGACTTGGTATAAAAGTAAGATGGCTACGTTGGAGCATATTTGTATTTCGGTGATAACCGAAGAAAATATATGTTTTACAGGATCATAATGGGCATAAGAAAATGAAAGGAGGTTGTCTTTATCATATTTGTATAATCAATCACAACAATTAGTTTTAGCACGTTTGTATAATCAATCACAACAATTAGTTTTAGCACATTTGTATAATCAATCACAACAATTAGTTAGTTTATTTGTCGTAATCAATCACAATTAGTTTTAGCACGTTTATATAATCAATCACAACAATTAGTTAGTTTATTTGTCGTCGACTTGTCCGAAGTTGTAATTTCGGAATTCGAAAAATGTGATATCTAATCCTAGCATGCTCTACTGATATTCCGAGAATCCCGAGTACAAATTATACGTTTCGAGTTGACATTAACCTAAAGAAGATTAAGTGTTCTGGGCTCGAATTCCTCCTCCAGGCAGGCCTTTTGCGTCGGTTATCTAAATGGGTAGATATTAATACAGTTGAATGTGCACTGTTTTCGGGGTAATAGTTTCTCGGAACTATTATATCCTTCGGGGAAATTGTATTTCGTGAGGTTATCTCTCGTTACTCGAACTTCGGTGTTATGACTTTTTGGAAAATTGCCCCAGTTGCGAGGAGTTTCGAGAAGTTCCAGAGTTTGACTTCTCGGGACACTGCGTGTCCACCAGTTTTTCGGGTGTATTTGTACGTAGCCTCTGCGAATTCGTCCTTTCTCGCGACGTACGATTATGCAGCTTTTCAATTAGACTGTTCATCGTGATGTGTCGCCGAGGTAGACCCGCTAATTTGCGACGCAAACGTCGCAATCGCGCGTCCTCCGCCGTGGCGAGTTGCCTGCACTTCGGCCGTGCGCGTAATGTAAGTGTAATGTTTCGACGTAACCGCGGAGGACGACGTCGCATTCGGGCTCTCGGAAAATGTTGCCCGTCCCGTAGCCTCCCGGGAGGCAGCCGAGCGGCGGTTCCTCGTGTGCTATCGTCTCCTCGTGTGCCACGAAAGGAGACTGATTCCGTCCGGTAATTCCGCGAAATGAGAGCCACGTGGCTCGTCCTGATTCTCGCGGAGATCCTGCCGCCGTTGTCCCTCCTGGGGGAGGCGCTGTGTCACCGTAATGACACCGACTTAAGTGCCGGCACCAACACCGGCCAAAGGTCAAGAGAGACTTCGTCCAGACGCAGACGGGAACTCGCTTTCCCGAAGGGGAGCGCCGTCGTGGTGAGTCAGTCCGTGAGAACATGCAGCTGCTTGTTGTTCTCGCAGGCGGTCGGATCGTCCTTTCGTCACGTTGAACTTTTGCGAGAGAGAATGAGAGAGAAAGAGGGGGAGAGGGAGAGAGAGAGTCACTATTTAGTACTCTCAGTCGGGAATTCCCAAGAGATTGGTTAGATCAATGTCGAAGCGATTCCTTATCTCACGTGACAAGTTTACGGTCGCGCGAACGACGACAGTTTCTCGTGATCGAATTGACGTTCATTCGTGAAACACGCGAAACAGCGCCACGTGTTCCTCTTTATCTTTCCTCCTAATTTTGCTCGGGTCACTTTTAAATGTTGGAAAAGGTAAAGAAACTAATTACTATTCCCTTTTCGAATATACAAGATGTCTGAATTCAAGTACGGCACTCACCATGTGCCTTAATCCTAGAAAGATATAGTGAGAAACTTTCACGATTAAGGTAGGGTGAATAACTTTTACTCACTCAAATAATAGCTCAAAAGGCAGTAGTATCCATTCAGTGGATAATGAAACAAGTACTAGAGGGGTAGCTTAAATCTTTTATTAAAAGTAAAAGTTATTCACGTTATTTTTCTAGGATTAAAATAGAGCGCATCAAACTGAACAGGGAAATCTTATATACAGTAAAAAATATATTTGTAATAGTTTTTTTTATATAAATTTTTTCAATCTTATTACGTTTTTTAGTAGTGCAAGAATAGCCTGTTACAATAAAGTTTACCTTAAATCTTTAATTCAAAGAATATATAAATTTTTTTAATACGTTTACTACTAGCGTCACGTATGCGAGAAAATATCTTTTTCTATGTGTATATACTTTATCGTTCACTACCAGCGTCACGTATGAGAGAAAATATTTTTTTCTATGTATCCATATTTTCAAACAAACTAAATCTGTTTTATATAAACAAGCAAAAAATAAATAGAAAAGTAAAAAAAAAATAGAAGATGATTTAGGGAGGTGGATTATGTTTTCTTCAGAACAGATCTTGATATAGTAAACGTAATAATAGACTTCTCTCTCTCTCTCTCTCTCTCTCTCTCTCTCTCTCTCTCTCTAAGATATAAGTATACCACGCATGAAACAGAGAAATAATAAGTTAAAACAGAATGTCCTATAGCTGCAAAATTCAACAGTAATTTCTACTATAAAATTCTTTCCGTGCAGGAACATTTGAAGAGACATATTTTAGGCTTCTTGATTATTTCTTAGCAACTGTAAATATCTGCTAGCAACGAGAGGCGAAGTAACGTTGCACACGTGATACTGGCTAGCACATCTATATTTCTCGTTCTCAGGAGATAAGGAAACAGGCTCAAGACATGTCTCTTCAAACTGCTCTACAGATCCTCAGACTCACTCCACCGTATGACACATATTTATTTGTCAACTTCTTTCAATTAATATCTTTAGAACAAAGCTGCTACATGAAAGAATGTATGGGACTTTCTTATTTATGCTTTAAAGCGCTCTACACGCACACACACACATACATACATACAATATTCAATTCAATTTATTTCAATTCAAACATTCTATGTACACGCTGATCTGAAGGGACGACATTGCATACCTTGTATACCTTATAAAAATCTCAAAAATAAATTCTTCCACTGGGCATTGATTTTGTTCCGAAGCGTATAAAAAAATATTGCACAAAGCTTCACGCTCACAATTGTACACTTAGTTTCAATACACACTTTGGCATTTTTCTTGATATAGTTTAAGTCGCAATCTATGTTGCAATAAGGAAACTTATTTTTTATTAATTCCCAGAAGTTATAAGTTTTCTGTTTGGATTTTCGGCTTGCGTTCCAAATTGCAAAGGAAAAAGGGTCCAAACCGTGTTGAAACCAAGTGTACAAGATACTACATCACATAAAAGTCAGTATAACAGTTTGCTTACTTGCTTCGCCGGCAGGGGCGTGCGCTTGGATACAACACAGATTCAATACAGACTTGGCGATATATTCGTTTGCGAAATGATTTATATTCATTTCTACCAATAAAATAATGTTAGCAAGTAATTGTAAATCATTTTGCAATCGCAAATACAATCAAGTCTTGCTGAGTCTGTCTAAGAACTTGCATCTGTCAGCGAAACAAGCAAGTAATCTGTTGTACTGAGCTTTACCAGGTATGTAAATATGAAAGCGGAATTTTTGTATAGAAAATACACGTTTATTGTATGAAAATGATAAAAAATATTTTATTCGAAGTATTATCCATCGTTAGCTATATATTTTTCCCACCTGTCTGACAATTTGTGGATGCCACGCCAAAAAAACTGTTGCTCTTTTGAGGCAAACCAGTCATCGAGCCATTTTCGTACATTTTCGTAAGAAGTGAAGCGCTGCTTAGCAAGTGCGTGTCCCATCGATGCAAATAAATAATAATCGGACGGAGCCAAGTCTGGTGAGTAAGCCGCATGCGAAAGTATTTCCCAACTAAACGCCTCAATCGTTTCCTTGACCAGTTTTGCTGTGTGTGATGGTGCATTATCATGAAGCAAAATCACTTTGTGTTGCCTTTTTTTATATTCTGGTCGTTTTTCACGCAAAGCTTGATTCAAATCGATCATTTGTTGTCGGTAGCGTTCAGTATTAACGGTTTGGCCAGGTTTTAGCAGCTCATAATAGATCACACCCTTCTGATCCCACCAAACACAGAGCATTGTCTTCCGTCCATAGCGATTTGGCCTTGCAGTCGATGTCGATGGTTCGCCTGGAGTTACCCATGATCTTTTACGCTTAGGATTCTCAAAATATATCCACTTTTCATCGCCAGTCACAATTCGATGGAGAAATGACTTTCTTTTGTACCTGGCGAGCAGCATTTCGCAAGTGGTTTTTCGGTTTTCCTGCTGTCTTTCATTCAGTTCATGTGGAACTCATTTTCCCATCTTCTGGATCTTTCCCATGGCTTTCAAACGTATGGAGACGGCTTCTCGTGTCACATTTAATTGATCCGCGAGTTGTTGTTACATTTGAGTGTCATCCTCATCCAACAATGTTTGCAATTCGCTGTCTTCAAACTTTTTCGGTGATCTTCCACGTTCTTCACTTCTCGCGTCAAAATCGCCATTTTTGAATTTTTTAAACCACTCAAAGCACTGTGATTTACCAAGAGCATGCTCACCGTAAGCTTCGACAAGCATTCGATGCGATTCTGCAGCAGTTTTCTTCAAATGGTAACAGAAAATCAATGCTGTCCGCAAATCGTAGTTTCCAGGCACAAAATTCGACATGTTCAACGCTATTACAAACTATGCTGTTGTATGAAACTTGTACTGTTGTGAATTGAAAATCTTTGTCAGAGATGTCAACAAGGAAATGGCGCTAATGACGCGGTTTGACGGTAACTACATTGACAGCTAGGGCCATCTATGGGCAAATTCCGATTTCATATTTACAGACGTGGTATGTTGACGCAACGCCCTGTACATAAAATTATCCGTTTAGGTAACTCTGACCCTGCTAAAGTCCATCCAGATTACCGAGCCCAGTAACTGGAACCTCGATCTGGAATTCGACATGATTTGGCCTATACCCAGTCGGGAGGATTTGAGAAAAACTGTGCTCGGAAGACCGGCCAAGCTGAAACGACGGCATCGGCGCGAGCTCTACGCTAATTTCGAGTCGGCGTTGAACAGGTAAGGAGTCATTTCCCCGGCGATGATTGTGATCGATTAATTAGCGTCGATTGTTGCTCGTTCCAGTCGATACTTGCCAGGACGATTGTGCATTCTTCGCGCGATATGCGAGGCCGAGACGGTGCTGAGTCCTCCGGGGTTCTCGCTGATCGAAGACGCCATCCGTGTTATTTTGAGGTACGCGTGACAGCGATACGTGATACGTTGCGACGTGATACAGTATTAATGACGTGCGGTTTCCTGTATTTAGATGGTGAAGAATATCGCGTGTATTCTAGGAACCTCGAGGATGCGGACGATCGTGATTGCTATGACGTTGCGTATCGAACAAGAACCGATTGCGAGGTCGTCTACCCCTGTCCGTTCTCGCTGTTGAGATTACTGTTGTACAATTTGTACACGCAAGAACCATGACTGCCGGTGGAAACTGAGAGCGTAAAGCTACGTGCAAACCTTATTATTACGTGACACATTAAAATTAGTATAGTCTTCGTTGTACATGGATAGATCTGTGATGTTATTGCGGGAATAAAGGAGAAGGAAAGGAGAGTGGAGGGGAAAAGTTTTCGCGTGCTCCGCATAGCTAAAATCAGAATAATGAAATCGAGCGAAATAATCGGCAAAAATTCTAGCGCGGCGATGACGAATATCGCGAAATTATAGGCGCGAGCGAACAGAACAGGCGAATACACACGCGGGGGTGTGTGTTTACGGAAAGGCACTCGACGCGAACATGCGCACACGCGCGCATACACTCACACGTACGCACACAATACCCGGCGGAAACGTTAATCGCGCTAATAGTGGCGGCAGTATTTTACGCTCACGCCCAGCAACGCGTCCGGCTGTTCGGCTCTTGAGCCGTTAATCGTTCGCTAAATAAAGCCGAGGAACGGAAGCCGAGCGCGGCTGGACGTTAATGAATTCGACAATGCCCCTTACTCGCCTAACTGCAATAATAACGGTCGTTTCGGCCAGGCCGGGAGATCATTCACCGGGCAAACCCTCGCGGACGAGCGCGCATAGATAGCTGAGTGAGCGAGCGAGATAGGTGAGTTCTGCCGCAGCTTTCGATATTCGCGCGAGTGAGCGAGTGAGCGGGCGAATTGACGAGGTCTGCAACGCAGCAGCCGCGGCGGCTGACATGGTCCGTAATAAAACAACTCGTTTCTATACCATTTCCGTTTTCATCCGCGGACAGAGGATCCCGCAGATTGGCTGGAATAATTGCCCGGAGAATGCGGAGTGTGCCGGCGACGCGGACGATCGGGGCGCGCCTCGCAACGACGATCGAATTGTACTTGTGGGAGCGCGGGTGATATTACACGCCGGTATTTAACGGATTGTTTGCACGCGCGTGCGAAGTTTTTCGAAAATGCGGAATATCGCGCGCCAGCCGCGCGGCGGCCCGGAGTGATGTCTCATTTCGCTTTAACGCGAAAATGGACAAGGCGCGCCGAGAGAAAAAGAGAGAGAAAGAGGGAAAGAGAGGCGGTGGAAAAATGTATACAGTGTGTCCGGTAACTAAGGAGTCGCGGTGTACAAGTAGATTAGATGAAACTGAACAAAAAATTCCTCTATCATACAACTACGTAAAATTTTGAGTTATTAATCCAAGAAGATTCGTACAATGCGCGATATGTACAATTTTTAAAGGTTTAACGCCTGGTTGCACAAATATTATTTTGGCTTTAAATGAGATTTAATCACGCGTCATACAGTAGATGAGCTATAATGACGGCGTTTGGCTGCTATATTAAGTCGAACTAAACAAAAGAGTCCTTTATCATTTTTCAAATAATCACGTGGATGTTTAGTTATTAATTAAAAAAGATTGGTGCGTTATTGCACACAACTGTACATTAAACTTCTTTCATTAATAACTAAACATGTACGTGGTCATTTGGAAAATAGTAGAGGATTTTTTTATTCAATTTGACTTAATATAACGGTGGACGTCGCCATCACGTCTTATTTACCGTATGGCGCGTGATCATTCGCAAATTTTCTTTGATTGAAAATTTTCTAACTTGAAATTTTACGTGGAGAATTTTACGTTTGTTTGCAAAATGGTAGAATAATTTTTCGTTCAATTTGAACCTGTACCCCGCGGCTTCCCCGTGAGTTACCGGACACCCTGTATATATGAAATAAAAATGGAATTAAAATACACGCGACGTTTTCGATATCGGTGAAGTTTGATGCGACCACGCCGCGTGGGAGAGAGTAAATCGCGATAAAAAGAGGAAAGTTTGTCAGAGATGTCGATAATATGAGCGAGCGCGAACCCGGGCCAGTTACTCATCGTCTCTTGTCACGCGGGAGATCAAACGATGCGACTTCGCTTTTGTGCTGCAGTTTTTTTCTTTTCGCGCCGGTGCACTCTGTTAATTTAAACATCGATGTGTCCTTTGACTCCGGCAAATTTCATCCGGTCGGTGAATGCCCGGCAAACCGACTAATAATCATATTCCATCGGCTGGGTATCGTCGGGGAGTCCCGCGGTTTCTGGATACAACACCGATATTAATATCGGTGAAGCAGAGAAGTTTATGTGCGACGGCAAGAGAAATGTCTCTCGACAATTTCAATTATTTTCGGATGCGTTGTGGAGAGAAAGACGAGAAACACGTATTTTTTTACAAGTGGCTTTTCGAGTTCAGGAATTTAAATAATGTGATACATCATACCTGCCTTTTGTCCACCCAAAGCGAGTCTATATCTACTCGCAGCGCGATGTGTACAATTCTTAAAGATTTAAGGCCTGGTTGCACCAATATTATTTTGGCTTTTAGCGAGATTTAAACATGTGTCTATCTTTGTTTTTCTTTCTAAATAAACACACACACACACACACACACACACACACACACACACATACACACATATATATATATATATATATTTATTTAAGTTTCGCTTAAAACTAAAATATCGTTGGTACAATCGGGCCTAAGAGTCTAAAAGTTAAAATTCTAAAAGTGCGATTTAAAAAATATCACTGTGCTTTACATGAAATTGTTACATAACTTCGTTATGCGAAGTAAAATGCGTAAAGTGACAAGTGAGTATGTCAAAAAATATTAACGACAAAATAAAATTTTACAAGGTACAAAGTTAAAATATCTTAAGGGTTACGCTATTCGGATATATTAATTTTCTATATGAAATTCTTTATAAAGATATCGAAGATATTTCATGGTCGTGAAGCTTTTTTAAATGCAATTCTATATTTATGTAAATCCACAATTGCAATCCATATCGCAACGAACTCAATCCTTTATGTATTCATCCCTTATAGAAATATCATACTAAGAATCATTGATAATTACTTATTTTCAGTATTAAAAATACTGGATAATAAGTAATTATCAATGATTCTTAGTATGATATTTCTATAAGGGATGCCAAAAAACAAATATATTCAAAAGATGTAACACTTATACATACATACATACATACATATATACTTATATATACAGAGTGTTTAAAAAAAGATAGGCTAGCTATATGCAGTTATATTCTTCTTATTAGGACAAACATACACAAAAAAGTTCTATACTAAATACTAAATATTAAATACTACTAAAAACATATTGACTAAAATGCTGTGAGTGAGAAAGTTAATGTTGAGTCAAAATTAAAAGAATTAATTTTTACACACATGTATGTGTTAACGCATTTTTTAAATTTTAATACATACAATTTAATACATACATATATATGTATTCAATATATATGTAATACATATATATTAAAAATGTAATATTTATAAATATTATAAATATATATGAATATGTATAAATATGTAATATATATGTAATATGTATAAATATGTAATATATATGTAGTATATATATATAATAAATATGTAATACGTATGTATGTATTTAATACATATTGTATTTATTATATTTATATTTATTTAAATGAATTTCAAAAATAAAAAAACAATAATTAAAGGAAATGTTCAAAATATCTACTAACGCAATACAATTCTGGGTTCTTAACATCAAAAACTGTCTTATATATACAAATACTAGAAAGTATTGCGTATCACTCGACATCCTCTTCTATTCTTTGTAAACGTTATTGTTCATTGTTAATCCAAACCGAGTAAACAATTGTTTTCAAATAGCCCCACAGATAAAAGTCAAATGGGTTTAAATAGGACGACTGTGCGGACCATGATTGAGGGCCAACATAACCAAAATATACTATGTGTAAAAATTCATTGACCAGAATATGTTATGTCTTGCAACACGGCTAAAATGTGAAGGTGCACCATTATACATAAATCACACACACACACACACACACTTAAACCAGTGAAGTATCGTCTAATAAATTTGGAAGATCATTTCATAAGAAATTGTAATTCGTTTCTCCATTAAGCCTTCACGGTAAAACAAATAGATCAATTAAGAAATCTCCAAGAATAGCAGCCTAAATATCCATTTAAAATTTCTGTGCATAAATATTTAAAAATTCAAAATTCTAGATTAATTAAATGCTGTTTCATCAGTAAAGAGAACAAATGGTAAAAAATATATTATTATCCGCAATTTGCCAAGACAGCCAAGTGTAGAATATTTCACGTGGTGGACAATAACCATTTTGTAGTGTTCAGACTTTTTGCAAATGGTAAGTATATAATTGATAATTTTTTAAAATCCATCAAATGATAGCATTGTTTAAACTTTCTTCTGAAGTAATTCTTCTTGTAATATCACCTGTATCTTCTTCAATTTGAGCCAACATTCATTTATCTAACTGTACAGTTCTTGTAGTTTGTGACTGACTACAATCTCTGAGAAGGAGATTTAAAACTTCCAGTTTCTGGCGTCTATGCAATCCTTCGAATGCCTTTTCGTTAGGCAAATGCTGTTTGGGAACTGATCCGCGCAAAGTTGTCTGGTCTCAGCCGATTACAATTTGCTATACCATATATCAAATACATATCAGTATCATTTCTACTATTCGAATAAAACTCCATGATTTACTGTAATTTGAAATGACTGTAACTAATATAATATGTTTCGTCGTTGATGACAGAACGAAAAGTAATTATTAACAAAGGAAAAAGAACAAAGAAAAAATCACTAAATTAAGATTTAATTGCAAACTCTTAGCAACGCACAAAAATATATGAGAATGTAAAGAACTTTTCAACAATGAAACTATAATGAGACAATTATAAACGAGACATTTATCAAGTAAAATTAAACTAAATAATCATATATATATCGAGAATGAAAGAAGATTTAATTGATCGTAAGTATTAAAGTGAAATAAAATAAAGAAAAATTAATTAAGAACATGAGATTAAAAAAAGAATAACATAAGAAATTTGAAATGAAAAGATGTAGCAAAACACCTCTCTCTAAAAATGTGAACAAATAAATAATCTTAATTGAAAATTAATGAAAACAAAATATAATTAATATAAATTAATATAATTAATAAGAAAAATAAGCTAAAGTAAGCTTTTAAATCTAATTAAAGTTGAATTCTAATTAAAGTCGAACTCAATTATGACTATCTAATTTAACATTAAATAATTGCAATCGAAGCAGTGTTTACTACGTTAACATCGACATTTTTTTCTTGTAATTTTGACTCAATATTGATTTTTTAATAATGACTTTTTAATGCAGTATATTTATAAGAACTTTTTTATATATTATAATGCGAAAAATATAAGTACATATAGCCAGTCTATCTTTTTTAAAACGCTCTGTATTATATGTATGACACTTCAAGCACATTTGATCAAATAAAAGTTAAACCTATAATATGTACACTCGCGGCTAGATAGGTTGTCCACTATTTTTTATGTGAGTTCTGGGACGCATTCGTCTTGTCCAATGGGAGAATTCTCCCATTGGAAAACAAATTTTGCCATTAAACAAGACGATACGTTTTGATATTCACGCAAAAAATAGTGGACAACATATTTGGCCCGCGAGTGTACATGATACGAAAGTTAAACTAACAATGCGTAACAGAAATTTCAATATAATATTTACTGTATTGTTTCCGAGATATTTA